TCAATAGATATGTGGCAGCCTCCCATGTGCTAAGCATCATCATGAAATTATACATTTACATACACATAACATTCATATATGAGTTGGAAAGGTCATTTTACCATATTAACATACCTTTATCTCACATAACTCCATATTCATCAATATGGTTTCAATTCATGATCAAGTCCATTACTTATCATTCATATCATGTTCAAGCATATTTATTCACAAAAACATGATTTAAGCATTTAGGTAATCTCATGCATAACCTACAAGTTGTAAGCAACTAGATGTCGGTCCTCACCTCAAATGAGCTTTAAAACCTTCCTTCTCGCTCCAACGACCAAAGCCTCGGCCAAGAAGGTTTTAGAACTGGTTCCTTGCTTGGAATTGAGTGTTAAACAGCCCCCTCAAAGTGCTAGTTCAACTCCTAACCGAAGACGCAAAAACAGTCCCTAGAACGGGTGTTTCCCGACGAATTCGTTCCCTAACCTTTCAAGGTTTTGTCTAGGTTAGTATCTAACCTTTCCAACAATTAAAGTCACTTTATAATAACATTTTATACACTTCAATCAGTGTATAATAGTTCTTCAATCATTTATACGATTTAGACAATAGAGAGGAAGGTTTTGGATTCAAACTTACTTTGAATACAAAAACGTATTCTGCGAGGTTGTGTTTTGCTCGGACGATTTGGAAGCCTTCCACTACTCCGATTGATGCAAACCAGACATACACGGATTCCTAGTCTTGAGAGCTTTCTTTTGGTATCTTATACGCCTTAATTGGACGAGTGAATCTCGAGTTATGGCTCAAACAATCAGAGCTACGTACTGAAGAACGAGCCTGCGGACAGCTTGCTCTCTCTTTGGCTTATCTTGGTTATGTGGCTCTCTCCTTCACTCTTATCTTGGGGAGTTCGAATGGGGTGTAGGGGGGAGTGTAAAGGATGCCTTAAACATGCTAAGAGAGCATGTGGCTCACAAAAGAGCATGGGAGACATTGGTTTGCAATCAAATGTGAGGTGGACCTCCACTTTTATTTCTTTTTGTAATGTATTGCTCTTAAGTCAACATGCTCGCCCCATATAGTCATCTCACCCATTTTTTCTTTGTCTTGCAGGTACTCAAGTCATGTGGAGTGGTTCCCAATTGATCCCAATCATTTTGGGGTCCAAAATATATATCAATACTTCCAAAAATGGGAAGATGGGTCCTATAGTTTTATCTTTTGTCAAAGATGTCTTTTTGTACTCATCCTAATTTATTTAGAACAAGTCAACTTCCTCCATCACATTATTGATCTCCAATATGTGTAGGTTCATCACGATAATTTACTTGATGGATATCATAGCAGGAAAATCCTACTCCCATTATTTAGCTCAATAATGCCAAAGATGGGGTTATAGGCATTTGTATTCTTCTTTAATCATTCTATCATTTATTTGACATTTGTCATACATATTATTGGGCTACTAGCCGTGTGGGTCACTCCCGAGTGGGTCTAGAACGTCATTCTCGAATACTTGCTATTTTTAGCAGGTTGGGCCCCAAATAATGTTTGGGCCGCCCGACCTTCCTCAAATTGTCTTGAAAGATTATGTATCACTATTTAGATAATGTTGGGCTTTTTATTTATTAATAAGTCCCGAATAAGTATTTGCAAAACCCGACACTAATGTACGAGTTTGAATAGTACGATATTCAACCATGCACTACGTAGAACATTAATCGTTTTACAATTGTTTGGAGTCGGAAATTCGATACATATATTTGAATTTAAATTGAATTTTCAAGGACGTTCGGGTGCGGTGTCACAAGTTCACCCCCCCTTAACAGGAATTTCGTCCCCGAAATTCACAGCTCTACTCGAATAGAGAAGCGTACTGCTTCCTCATCAAGGCCTCTGTTTCCCATGTCTCTTCTTTGACCCGATCGCTCTTCCAAAGGACTTTAACCATTGGGACTTCTTTGCTCCTCAGTTTCTTCACCTTTCTATCGGTGACCTTGATTGGTTGCACAGCGTAGTTCAAATCCTCACGTACCTCTACAGGCGGCTTTTCCAATACGTGGGAGGGATCATGTACATACTTCTTAAGCATGGATACATGAAACACATTATGTATCTTCTCTAATTCAGAAGTCAACTGTAGACGATATGCAACGGCCCCAATCCTCTCTATAATTCTGAATGGACCTATGTATCGTGGGTTAAGCTTTCCTCGGGTTTGGAATCGAATGATTCCTTTCCAAGGAGAAACTTTCAAGAATACCTCGTCCTCAACCTTAAACTCTAAGGTTCTTCGACGCTTATCTGCATAACTCTTTTGTCTATCCTGAGCCGCTTTGAGTCTCTCTCGAATCAACTTCACCCTTGACTTGGTGATCTCAACCAACTCAGTACCCTCGAGTTTGGCCATGCCAACCTCGTCTCAGCATAACGGTGTACGACACCTCCTCCCATACGATGCTTCATATGGAGGCATGCCGATACTTGCCTGATAACTGTTGTTATAGGCAAACTCCACGAGTGCTAAGTGGTTGTCCCAACTTCCTTGGAACTCTAACGCACAAGCCCTCAGCATATCCTCTAAGATCTGTATAACCCTTTCAGACTGCCCATCCGTCTGTGGATGGAAAGCAGTACTGAACTTCAACCTCGTTCCCATAGACTCCTGGAATTTCGGCCAAAACGTGATGTGAATCGTGGGTCTCTATCGGATACAATGGTCACTGGGACCCCATGCAGCCTCACGATCTCATCCGTATACAATTTGGCTAACCTCTCAAGTGGGTAGGTAGTGTTGATAGGCAAGAAGTGTGCACTTTTCGTGAGCCTATCCACAACAACCCAAACTGCATCATAGTTCCGAATTGTTCGTGGTAAACCTACCACGAAATCCATAGTCACATGTTCCCACTTCCATTCAGGAATGGAAAGTGGTTGTAACAAGCCTGCTGGATGCTGATGTTCTGCCTTAACTTGCTGACAAGTAAGGCATCGACTAATGTATTCAGCTATTTCCCTCTTCATACCAGACCACAAGTAACTTTCTTTCAAATCACGATACATTTTCGTGCCCCCCGGGTGCATGGCATAAGCCGATGAATGAGCCTCCTCTAAGATGGACTTTCAGAGCTCATCATCTGACGGTACACACACTAGGTCACGAAATAACAAGAGACTATCATCTCTTTCCCTGAAATGCTCCACCGGTCCCGCTTGCATGCGTTCCCGGGCCTTTATAAGTTCTACGTCAGTCTCTTGACCCTTCTTGATCTCATCAAGTAAGGTCGGCTCACCTCGAATCGTGCTAATAAGGCACCGTCGCTAGATACATCCAATTGGGCCCTCAGTGCCCTCAAACTAGTCAACAATGCCCCAGACGAACTCTTCCGACTAAGGGCAACTGCTACAACGTTTGCCTTACCTGGATGGTACTCAATAACTAGATGGTAGTCCTTTATCGACTCCATCCACCGTCTTTGTCTCATGTTTAACTATTTCTGAGTAAACACGTACTTCAAGCTCTTATGATCAGTATATATGTGACATGTCTCTCCGTAGAGATAATGTCTCCAATTCTTCAGTGCAAACACTACTGCTCCCAGCTCCAGATCATGGGTAGGATAATTTTACCTCATGCTTCTTCAACCGTCGTGAAGCATAGGCAGTTACCCTCCCCTCCTGCATCAACACACACCCAAACCCTTGGGTGCTCGCGTCACTATAGACATCGTACCCCACACCCTGTTTGGGTAATGCAAGTACCGGTGCCTCGGTCAATCTCTTCTTCAGTTCGATGAATCCTTTCTCACATTTGTCATCCCATATAAACTTAGCTCCCTTTCGAGTGAGCTTCGTCAATGGCGATGCTAAAACTGAGAACTTCTCCACGAATTATCTGTAGTAACCCGCTAGCCCGAGGAAACTACGAATCTCCTTCACGTTCTTAGGCCTTTCCCATTATGTGATAGCCCCAATCTTCTTGTTATCCACGGCAATGCCTGACTCAGAAACTACATGCCCAAGAAAGCCAATCTCTTTAAGCCAAAACTCGCACTTAGAGAACTTGGCGCAAAATTGCTTCTCTCGTAGTGTTTCAAGATCCAGGACCAAGTGCCGCTCATGTTCTTCTTCACTCCTTGAGTAAATTAAGATGTCATATATGAACACAATCACAAATCGGTCCAAGTATATATGAAATACTCGATTCACCAAGTCCATGAATGCCGCTGGGGCGTTTGTTAACCCAAACGACATAACAAGGAATTCAAAGTGCTCATACCTTGTGCGAAAAGCACTTTTTGGTATGTCATCTTCCTTAATCTTCGGTTGATGGTAACCCGACCTCAAGTCAATCTTTGAAAACATAGTCGCCACTCGTAGTTGATCAAACAAGTCATCAATCCTAGGCAAGGGATACCTATTCTTGATTGTGACCTTGTTCAGTTGACGATAGTCAATACACATTCGAAGTGTCCCATCTTTCTTTTTCACAAAAAGAACTGGTGCTCCCCACGGGGAGTGGCTTGGTCTAATGAAACCATTATCCAAAAGCTCTTGCAATTGGGTTTTCAACTCGTTAAGTTCAGCGGGTGCCATACGGTATGGCGGTATGGAGATTGGTTTGGTACCAGGCTCGACCTCGATCACAAATTCAATCTCCCTATCAGGTGGAAGCCCCGGTAGGTCTTTAGGGAAGACATCCGGATACTTACAAACCACCCTCACATCATCGATGTTCGTTTCCTCTTTGGTTTTGTCAACCACGTATGCTAGATATGCGTGGCATCCCTTTCTCATCATACTTCTCGCTCTCACGGCGGATATGATACAGCTATTTGATCTCCCTCGATCGCCCTCGAAGCGTAGGGTCTCCCCATCATTGCCTTCGAGTTTAAGAACCTTCGTGTAGCAATCTACCCTAGCATGGTTCCCTTCTAGCCAATCCAACCCTAGGATTGCATTGAATTCAATCATGCTCAGCGGTACGAAGTCACACGTCAAGGTTTGACCATTAACTTCCACCCCACAAGATGGATAGTAACGAGTTGTTTCCACGTCATCCCCTAGTGGTGTTGATACCACTAAGGTTTGCATCAATGGTGCGGATTGCACTTCCAAACTCTTGGCGAACGCTTCATTCACAAATGAACGTTGCGCCCCGGTATCGATAGGGATTCGCGCATCCTTCCCATTAATCTTTAGTGTCCCTACATTCATGAACCATGTAAGACATCTTTCCTACCCCCCCCTACTCATTTAGAGAGGTTTATTATGTTCACACACGTGTTTGGGATCAAGAACGGGTCTTAACGTTGCAATACGGCGCGAAAAAGTCGACTTTGGGCTGTCCAGGAGGTACGCACGGCGTGCCTAGGAGGTACGCACGGCGTGCGTGTCTTATAACCTCAAAACGGAGCTACTGCCACCAACGCACGGACCAACGCACGGACAACGCACATCCGTGCGTATAGCAATTTCTTCCCGGTTGCTACTGCCACCAACGCACGGACCAACGCACGGACAACGCACGGCCGTGCGTATAGCAATTTCTTCCCGGTTGCTACTGCCACCAACGCACGGACCAACGCACGGACAACGCACGGCCGTGCGTATGGTCCAGCCTGGTGTGCGTTGGCGGAAATCAGCCGTCTTTCGCCCGATTTCGCTCCGTTTGATCCCAAAATTTCGTGCAATGATCCCAACGATTAGTAACCTTAATTTATGGACTAATTAAGGATAAAACACTAGTATACGAGAGGCAATACCTGCAACGGAATCCGGGTTAGCTTGAGCATCCGCCTCTGTCATCGCATAGACCCTAGCTTGGGTCCTTCCTTGGTTCACGGATGGCGCGTTGCTCGTGCTTGCTCCCCCATGTCCCCTGCTCCCTTGAGAAACCTTGGTTTGGTTTTCATTTCTTGTAGTTCCACCACTTGACCCCGAAGTTTGGTTTTGCACAATTTGTGGGCAGCTCACTCTCGTGTGCCCGACCTCTGTGCAATGATAGCACCTAGGAGGGTCGTGACACTTACCCGAGTGGTGTTTCTTGCAATTGTTGCACCTAGGTACCCTCGGACCCTTTGACCTCGAGTTCTGGCCACCCGAGCCCCGACTCCACTCAAGTGATAGTGTCTGCGCCCTGAAGGTTTTGTCACCCTCAACGTTTGTCCTTCTTGAATGTCTTTGGGAATCGTTGTCTCCCCACCTCCTTTTCCTTACTAACGGTATGCCCTCAGCTTGCCTAGCTTGGCGTTTTTTGTATAAGCCTCACACGTTCACGTTGAAGCCAATCTATGACCATGCCCATTTGTTCAATGGGTGCACCATCAAGGTTCTCATCACTCAAATCATCTCCCTCGTCACCCGAAGCCTTGAGTGTTTCAATTTTGCTATGACAAGGTGATTCTTCATTGGTTCTAACATGACCGCCACTCACGATTTGAGCTTCTAGAATTTCGTGAACCTTTATTCCTACGGGCTTTTCTCGGTTGGCATGCCCGGTTCCACCCGGTGCAAACCCTTCCGAGTTCTCCCTATTCATAATACCACCATCACCCTCCATCACTGAAAGAAATAATTGGAATGAGTCATTAGACTCGTTTCAAATGTCAACTGACAGATAGGTACTTAAGACATCTCTTGGGCCAAGTCGCCGCCATACCAATCGTTAAGGGCGCCATCTTAACAATTAGAGACCTTGCAACTCAAACACCAAAAGTTCTTAAGTACAAAACGTTTTTGCTCATGGTTTTCAAAAAAAAACATTTTGAAAAGAGAATTTTGAGACTTCATTATGAAGTTTATGGACTAAGTCTCTGATACCAACTTAATTGTCACGCCCCGGACCTATCCGGACACGTCAACAATCCGCCGTACAATACGAATAGTCAACCGCAGTCCAACACATTCATATTATACAAGGCGTCTTGAATATCATTCACACATATACATCCATAAACAAACATAATAAGTAATTCATAACGCAGCGGAAAACATTATTTAAAACAAAAGGGCCACACATGGCTATTCATGAGCACGCAGGCTCTATAGTAAAATATCCATGAGCATGTTTATTAATTTTTAAAAAAAAAACAGAATGGAGGAAGCACGAACCAAGTCTTCCCTCCTATATGATCTCTCGAGCAACGAGCACAGGAAGCAAGCTCTAGCCTCAACCTGAAAAATGGTGGTGGGACGCCCCCGAAGGGGTCAGCACTCTATAGGGCTATAAAGTGCTGGTGTGGCAGGCATCTAATAGATATACAACAAGTATTTCACACACAAGACCCTCAAATAGGGTGATAATATAGTATAGGCCGTAATCTCAAATTACCCCTTTCAAAATATATACTTACTTTATATAAAGTCAAGTAGTCGGCTCAAAGGCCCATGTTTATTACAAAACATTTACCAAAACCCCGTGACTAATGGTCACGACATACGTAGGGTCCAACCCTAATATAACTTCTCATTTCTAGAGTTAGGCTCGAGTACATCATCATGCACTCGCATCATAGATCTCCTACTTCATATAATCATACCATAGATCTCCTACTTCATGTATTCACCCCATAGATCTCCTACTTCATACAATCCCACCATAGATCTCCTACTTCATATAATCACACCATAGATCTCCTACTTCATATAATCACACCATAGATCTCCTACTTCATATAATCACACCATAGATCTCCTACTTCATACAATCACACTTGACACTTGAATCTTATTCAAGTTCATCACAAACAACTCAAACCTTAAGTTTAATTCTATCAACATTTTGAACAATCCTTAACTAGCATCACAATACTATTAAGATTATTCCTACAACTCATTTATCATAAATGGTAGCCCCTCCATATCAATAGATATGTGGCAGCCTCCCATGTGCTAAGCATCATCATGAAATTATACATTTACATACACATAACATTCATATATGAGTTGGAAAGGTCATTTTACCATATTAACATACCTTTATCTCACATAACTCCATATTCATCAATATGGTTCCAATTCATGATCAAGTCCATTACTTATCATTCATATCATGTTCAAGCATATTTATTCACAAAAACATGATTTAAGCATTTAGGTAATCTCATGCATAACCTACAAGTTGTAAGCAACTAGATGTCGGTCCTCACCTCAAATGAGCTTTAAAACCTTCCTTCTCGCTCCAACGACCAAAGCCTCGGCCAAGAAGGTTTTAGAACTGGTTCCTTGCTTGGAATTGAGTGTTAAACAGCCCCCTCAAAGTGCTAGTTCAACTCCTAACCGAAGACGCAAAAACAGTCCCTAGAACGGGTGTTTCCCGACGAATTCGTTCCCTAACCTTTCAAGGTTTTGTCTAGGTTAGTATCTAACCTTTCCAACAATTAAAGTCACTTTATAATAACATTTTATACACTTCAATCAGTGTATAATAGTTCTTCAATCATTTATACGATTTAGACAATAGAGAGGAAGGTTTTGGATTCAAACTTACTTTGAATACAAAAACGTATTCTGCGAGGTTGTGTTTTGCTCGGACGATTTGGAAGCCTTCCACTACTCCGATTGATGCAAACCAGACATACACGGATTCCTCGTCTTGAGAGCTTTCTTTTGGTATCTTATACGCCTTAATTGGACGAGTGAATCTCGAGTTATGGCTCAAACAATCAGAGCTACGTACTGAAGAACGAGCCTGCGGACAGCTTGCTCTCTCTTTGGCTTATCTTGGTTATGTGGCTCTCTCCTTCACTCTTATCTTGGGGAGTTCGAATGGGGTGTAGGGGGGAGTGTAAAGGATGCCTTAAACATGCTAAGAGAGCATGTGGCTCACAAAAGAGCATGGGAGACATTGGTTTGCAATCAAATGTGAGGTGGACCTCCACTTTTATTTCTTTTTGTAATGTATTGCTTTTAAGTCAACATGCTCGCCCCATATAGTCATCTCACCCATTTTTTCTTTGTCTTGCAGGTACTCAAGTCATGTGGAGTGGTTCCCAATTGATCCCAATCATTTTGGGGTCCAAAATATATATCAATACTTCCAAAAATGGGAAGATGGGTCCTATAGTTTTATCTTTTGTCAAAGATGTCTTTTTGTACTCATCCTAATTTATTTAGAACAAGTCAACTTCCTCCATCACATTATTGATCTCCAATATGTGTAGGTTCATCACGATAATTTACTTGATGGATATCATAGCAGGAAAATCCTACTCCCATTATTTAGCTCAATAATGCCAAAGATGGGGTTATAGGCATTTGTATTCTTCTTTAATCATTCTATCATTTATTTGACATTTGTCATACATATTATTGGGCTACTAGCCGTGTGGGTCACTCCCGAGTGGGTCTAGAACGTCATTCTCGAATACTTGCTATTTTTAGCAGGTTGGGCCCCAAATAATGTTTGGGCCGCCCGACCTTCCTCAAATTGTCTTGAAAGATTATGTATCACTATTTAGATAATGTTGGGCTTTTTATTTATTAATAAGTCCCGAATAAGTATTTGCAAAACCCGACACTAATGTACGAGTTTGAATAGTACGATATTCAACCATGCACTACGTAGAACATTAATCGTTTTACAATTGTTTGGAGTCGGAAATTCGATACATATATTTGAATTTAAATTGAATTTTCAAGGACGTTCGGGTGCGGTGTCACACTGTCCTTATTCGTTTTGGCCTTGAATTTCTGGTCAAGGTTGTCTTTCTTTTCTAAAGAAGTTTACCAATTTTAGACCTTTAGGCTCTTAGTGTCGCCAGATTGGGTGGGCTTTTCACTTTAGGTTACTTAGACCTCGTGATGAACCTCTTAATTGGCGAGGCATGTGGGCCTCTCCGATGCAAAGTTAATTCACTTATTTCATCTTTAGCCTTGTAAAATCAATCTTAACCTTGAGAAAGGTTGTCTTTTCGTGTTTAAGAAAATCTGATTTTGTTTGTAAGGCTGTCTAACCTTGAAAAGGGTTGTTTATTCTTGCTCTTGTCTTTGGTAAGACTAGGTTGAACTCCAGAATTCAGATGAGTTCGGAACTTGTACTTTGTCTTTTTACGAGTACCAATTAGGCATAGCCTTCACTTTTTTTTGGCTGGTTAAAAAACCTTTGTAAGTAATTTTAAAGAACATACGGGAAAGAAAACAAATTTTTATTAATTAAATTGACTTAAAAAGGAACTACATACTTACTGCTAGAATTTCATCAAGTGCTCAGAATTCCACTCTATCTACCAGTCTTCCCTTAGGAGTACATAGTTTGTAGGTCCCGGGTCCAGTAATCCGTTTGATTTTATAGGGCCCTTCCCAACTTTTGACAAATTTTTCACCTTCTAGGGTCTTGCTAGCAGACCTCCTTGTTAGGACCAGATGTCCAATATCAAATAGCCTTGGTCTGACCCTGGTGTCGTGGTATTCCTTTACTTGCCTTCTATAGTTTTCATCCCTGATGAAAGCCCTATCTCTCCTTTCTTCAATTAGGTGTAGTTCTGCCCTTAGCATTTCCTTATTGTCCTTGGGGTCATAATCCTCCACCCTATTGCTTGGGACCAACGCCTCTAGTGGCGCTCGAGCCTCAAAGCCATAAGTTAGAGAGAAGGGGGTCTCACCGGTAGCCCTCCTTGGGGTTCGATATGCCCAAAGTATGTTGTTGAGTTCATTCACCTAAGTTGTTCCCATAGACTCCAATTTCTTTTTGAGGCCATCAACGATAGTTCTATTTGCATTCTCCACCTGTCCATTGCATTGAGGATAAGCAACAGATGTCCTGCTGGCCTCAACTCCCCATTGTTCACAAAATTCCTTGAAGGGCTCAGAGTCAAACTGCTTCCCATTATCAGTGATAATTTGCATGGGAACACCAAACCGGCAAAATATATTTCTCCAAACAAACCTCTTGCAATGCTCAACAGTGATTGTGGTCATTGGTTCAGCCTTCACCCACTTAGTAAAGTAATCAATTGCAACTATAACAAATTTCCGACCTCCTGAGCCCTGCGGAAAGGGCCCCACGAGATCGATTCCCCATCTTGAGAAAGGAATTGTTGTGCTAATAGGGGTGTAGAGAGTAGCAGGCCTGCCTGGGTTTGTTTGGAACTTCTGGCAGACCTCACATCTCCGTGCAAAGTCCACGTAGTCTTTCACCATGGTTGGCCAAAAGTACCCTTGTAAAAGGGCTTTCCTACTTTGCTGCCAAGACTACGCAGGTTGTGAAATTTACGAGAGCTATATCTACGAGAGCAGATGAAATTTAGGCAGAGTAAGGTAGGATTTTATTATCTGGAATTCGGTCCCTTGGTAGGAAATATACATGAAGTATTTATAGACTCTATGGGCTAGTATTCTAGGAGGAAACTGATACAATAAATGCTATTAATCATATTCTAATCGAATAAAACTCATGTAACGTCTTGGACGTCGTGCAATGATTATATCCTTTAAGTCCACGTTCCTTCCATTTATTCCTGCCTGCTGCCAGATAGCTATGCTCAAATGATACTCTGCCACGTAAGCCCTAGGAATATCCCGGCCTCACTAGAACTCCGCTTAGGCTCGAGGTCTGCTGTCCAACCTGGCCTGATTGTGGGTTCCTATTGTGGACCTCGTTCCTAATTGGGCCCAGCGGCTTATTAATATTAATCTTGTTTAGGGCTTGATCCTGTTATGGGCTAATCCTATTTATAGGCTGATCCCGTTGAAGGCTAATCCCGTTGAGGGCTGATCCCATTATGGGATGGATTCCGTAATTGGGCCATGGTTTGAGTCCATGGTACCATCAATTTCGTACCTACAATTTTGTCTCTAAGGTTAGACCATATACAAAAATGTTGTTCGGAAAATTCAAATTTTATAGACAATAATAATGTGGCACATACACAAATGTTACATACTCGATAAAAAAAAATACACACTTTTTATTCACAATCTCAACAAAATCCGCATGGATATGTTTTTGAAGGTAAAGCTAGGTCATGGATCAAAAATATTGGAGAAGTTCAATTCTAAAGACCAAAAATGTCTAGCTCACACAAATATGTTCGAGAAACGATAAAGATCTAAACATTTTTTGTGCCACAAATTTATTGTTCTTAAATGTAGATTTTTCAGAATGGTATTTTTTCTGTGCCCAAATTTAACAAACAAATATTATCGGTACGAAAGATTTGGAAATGTGTACAAAAATACACACCTTTTTTACCCTGTTTGAAACATTTTGTATGTACATAACACTTATTTTCTGTAAAACTGGACTTCTTCAATCAATATTTTTTATTTGTGATCAAACTTTACAGAAATATTTTTTTGAGCGATATTTTTTTAAAATGTGCACAAAAATTACACAATCATTCAGAATTGTATGAAATTTTTATTTGTCTATGCCTGACATTTATTGTTTGTAAAAGGGAAAACTGTCAAATAAGTCCATGTACTTTTAACAAAAAGTCAATTGAGTCCATGTACTTTTTTTCGAGTCAATCACGTCCATGAACTATAAAAAATCAACCAAATTAGCTGTTTAATGGGTAAGTAACCGGTTATCCGGTGAGCTGCCTACATGGACGTCCAGCTGGGCATTTTTTTTTTCATATTTTTTTCTTTTCATTTTCTTTTTCTATTTCTCCTCCATCTGCAACCCATATCCTTCTCCTTGCGCAGATTACGGATCCATCGAGCATCCAGGTGGTGATGGTGGCCATGGAGGCTGGGGCAGTTGAAGGTCGTTCAAATGGAAGAGGGGAAGGTAGAGACCACGGAGGTGGAAGCTGGAGGCGGTGGCAAGGGCGGCGGAGTTGGTGGTTATAGAATCCGACGCGGCTGGAGGTCGTTGCAATGGAGGCAAAGGGATGGAGGTTGTGGACGGAGGCGGTGTGTATAGCGGAGGGGCGGTTGAGGTGAAGGTGGAGGCCGGACTTCGGATGTGGTGGGCGGCGGGACGGTGGCTATGGAGGTTGGGCCTCGGCGGAGGTAATGGGTAGAGATGCCGGGGCGGTGGAGTTTGTTCGAATGGGAGTGGCGGATCAGCAACGATGGAAGAAAGAGCCGGATTTGTTGTGGAGACAAGAAAGGAAAGAAAGAATCGATCGTGGGGGGGCTGGGAACTGGAAAAGGAGAAGCGGAGCAGACTGCGGACAGGAAGAAAGAAGAAAGAGGAAAAAAAGAGAGGAAAGAGAAGAAAAAAGAAAGAGGAAAGAGAAAGGAAAATAAAAAAAAATGGAAAACACTAGAAAATTGCCAGCTGCAACATCCACGTAGGTGGTTAACCGGGTAACTGGTTGGCTACCTACTAAATAGCTTATTCGGACGTTTATTGATAGTTCATGGACTTGATTGACTCGAAAAAAAGTACATGGACTCAATTGACTTTTTGTTAAAAGTACATGGACTTATTTGATAGTTTTCCCTTTGTAAAATTGCATTTTTCGGTTGACATTTTTACATATCAACTAACTTTACAAAAAAACTGTTAATTCAAAAAATGATGAAAATGTGTACAAAAAGTACAATTGGATAGTTGGAGGGATGCATGTTGTACTCGAAAGAGAAGCAAAACATGCTTTAAATTGAACTAAACATTTCTAGTGTTGTATGTTTAAGTATTGTCTTGTCTTATCAAATAAAAACATAAGTTATAGGTATTTTATTATTAATAATAAAGTCTGATGATCTATTAAACTCAAATAGAATGCCTTAATTGGTGTTCTTGATAGTGTGGGTCAAAAATCAACTCGAATTAGACTTGTTGGGCCCTTCAAGTGGGCCTAAATATTAAAAACATAGCATGGCTGAAAATGCGTGAAAGAAGGAAAAAGAAAGAAAAAAAAAAGAAAAGAAAAAGAAGAAGAAAAAAGAGCTAAAAGGAAAATAAAAAGACAAAAGAACAGGGAAACGATGAACAAAAGGGAGATACAAATGAAAACAAACATTTAAAAGAAAACACAATGAAAGAGAGAATGAAGATAAATAAAGGAAAAGAAATTAAAATGAGTGCTGGGAAGGAAGAAAACAGACACTAATAGATTGAAGTAAAAGAAAAGAAAAAGTGATTGACCTGCTATTATAGGTTGTTATTAGGTCACTTGACCTAATTGATGGATATTTTTTTTATAGTAGATGTATTTGGGTGATACTTTTTTAATAGAAAGGTTTAAATGATATTTTTGCAATAGTAAATGGACTTATTTGAACTTTTATCCTTAATGGTTTAATGCATAACTTTAGTGCATGATCCAATTTCATTGTGTCAATTGTCAAGAGGTCTGCTCGACCAACATTTGGTAGTGTATAATCGTTTTGGCTCTATGAAACCATCAATTTTGTTCTCTTTCTATGGAGCAATAAAATTGTTTTTGAGATTCTAATATGCTCAGCATCATAGTTTAACATAGATGTATAAATGATTATTAATATTCACTACAAAACGTCATCTTCATCTTCACTACCAATAGACTCCATCAATTCACTGTCATCATCTTCACCTTCCGTCACAATCTCTAACATTTCATCTTCACCTTCGTAGCCCATAATGAACCCCCCATCGTCATCCTCATCCTCATCCTCATCATCATCATCATCAAGTCCGCCCAAACTAACATCATCACCATCACTTTCACCATCCACGTCAAGATCTGTCGCAAGGATGGCTTCCTCATCATCATCATCTTCATCATCTTCACCCTCCTCACTATCGGCATCATCAGGATCCGAGTCATCCTCAGTGAGTCTCCGACGCCCGATTTCATAAACTCTAGCAGAAGAATACATTTCATCTTGGTCATCCATGGTCACCAATCCAACAAAAGAATCAGTTGGTTCCATCGCAAAGTCAAGGACGCAGCGATCCACGGGAATGGTGGCAATGTCACCATAGTTAACAGAGTCTACAGTACGGAAAGCCGAGAAGAGAGGGTGTTTTGCCCGCCAATTGTTGAACGCCGATGTCACATCTTCAAGATTTCTCCTGAGTATTGCGTATATCACATCACCACTACCATTAAAAGTTATCATGGTGTGACGCAATGACGGTACACTCTTCAAAAGTCGGAACTTCCTAAGGTCCCAAACCTCAGAGTTTATGATTACCTGTAAATATTAAAAAACAATTTTGGTTCAAAATAGAAAATAGTAAAAAATGCTGGCTAGAGCTAATATGAAAGAAAACTGGCCAAGTCCTCACTTCATTCCTGGAAGGATGAAAGCCCCCACCTCCAAAGTCAGTAAACTCATCAAACCGATGTATCAGGCGTGATTGACGACGATCCCATAAAACACCATTCCAAAGCAGTCTATCGTCTGATGGGCCAAAATGTACAAGGGAATACATGTTTCCCCGCCCCGAGGTGACAGTAGACATGTTATCTGTGAGCTTCGACTCCAGCTGGCATGTTTGGATATCATACAAGAGAATCTCACGCTGGGGTGAATCTGTTGACAACGCTGCAAACGTCGTGCCGGTACTGCTAAACCGTGGAGCTTTGCACCCCTCAAATGAATGGCGGGGTCCAGCTGAAACAGAAGACACATCCCACAACTGCACGTCTTGAGAGCTTGAAGAGAGCATGAGTTGAGGATTCCCTCCTGAAAGATAGGACTGGAGTTGGGTCACGGGATTTTGATGGCTTGCGAAACTCTCTAGAACGGTGTTGCTGTTAGAGTCAAAAATCTTAAGCTCTCCCAAGTGGCTGCCGGCAGCAATCTGTTGAGAGTCTCCCAGAAAAGTCATGCAAGTCAAAAGGGCGCCGGCATCATCCCGGCAAGTTCGCCAGGGTCGGAATCTGCTGTAGACAAATTGGCGATCCTTGTGCCTTCCGTGGATACCACCACTATACATACTTCTGAACTCGCGTGAAGTGAGCCTGGACGTCACGTTAGATGGAGCATCAAGACTTCGTTTAGGTTCTGGACAGACATGTGGTTGCAAAAGGGACAATGGAGGTAGGGTTGTGATTGGGGCTGGACATTGGCGGTGTTGGTGCTTCAGAAACTGAATCACCAAAGAATCCAGTGTCAAGCGCTCTGTGTTGGATGAGGATGAGGCTTGCATGTCATTTAGAAGGTTCATATCCCCCCCATCAGCAGCAGCAACTGGTAAAGCACTTCCAACAGACCGACCGTGCTGCTGCTGGTCCTTGACACATGGAGAGCTCGGTGGTGGTGTGAGCAACAACGGAGGTGCATCAGAAGGAAAACCACTTCTACGGCCATTATTCGGTGTTCCTAAGGTTGGTAAAGATTTAAATAGAGTTTCACCACTGTTAAGGCGTTTTACTGGTGGTGCCCCTACAGACCCACTATCTGTTGATTTGCGTTTTCCAGGCATTAGAGCTGTTGGTGTCTTGGACTGCATGTCTACATTACCAGCTACAGATGCTGGTTGACCTTCCATGGAGGAGGGGCCAATAATAGGTGTAGAATGTTTCAGACTATTATTGATTTTGCAAACTGGTGAGATCTCAGAAGGACTATTATATTTTGAATGCAGACTGCTACGCCCTCCAGACGAGAACACCAATGGTTTCTTTTTAGAGGAAGCTGCTGCATCACATTTCATTCCAAACTCATCATCCTGCAATGCTGTAGTAGCAGCTTTTGGCTTATTATCTAACATGAACCCACCAGGTGCACGCCCAGATGGCCAATGAGTTTGTTGTAATGAGGAAGTTTCCTGGCCAGAGATCTGATATGTCAAAGAGGATGGTGCCGATAAAGATGGCAGAGGTATCAACTGAGCCTCCTTTAGTAGAGTTGATGCAGTTTCTGTCAACCCAGATGCTTGCAAATGCTCATGGACAAGCAATAGAAGTTCCCTAATATTATTTGTTTATTTATTAGAAAAACCAAACAATCACAATCGTTTCACATATGCAAGTGTGATAAGAAAAGAAAAATAAGTTATTGATTGAAATACTGCATCACCTAGCATGGTATGAAATTGGGGTAGCAGCAGCTATTGCAGCTCTCTCTATGCGCCTCAATGTTGGGGTAGCAGCATCTGAAGCAGCGAGGGTACTTGCACGACCAGAACTAGTTACAACCTATAACAGTACATACATATACATAATTTAAGAACACTTGCAACATGAGTTGGTTGTTCTCATTCTACAAGAAAAAAAGGGAAATTGCAAGTTCACTCCAAATGCAACTCTAACAATCAAGGACACAAGTACATCCAGCTGCTTAAGATAAGAAAAGGGTTGAGTCACTTGAGTGCAAATAAGATTTATCAGTTGGCAACAGATGACAATAAATCACCCCTCCAAAAAAACATCAGAATAGTAAACTACAGATAAATGTCAATACGTAAGATATCTTAATACAAAGCATGTCAATAGCTAGGAGTTCTTACCCCTATAAGCTCAATAGCAACCTGAGCAAGCTCATATTGCCACTTACTCTGCTCAGTTCCAGAATTCTGGTTGCCCAAGTCTCGTATGAGCTCTGACAGTTTCTTCCCAACCTAAAACATAAGTTGTAGGAAGTTGGCAAACACCAAACTATGAAGAAATATATCACCACCAATTCAATACTATCTTATACAGCAGACTACATCCCGCAGACCGAGACCAACTGTTGGTACATCATCTCAAAGACACTAATTTTTGTCTTGGGAATATGATGGAATAAAGCAAAATGCTTCAGTAAATTGTCTGCGCTTCTTTCTTATGAAGCAGCAGTCAGTCCACGCAATTTCCAACGCTATTTTCATCATGGTTCATCCGGAAACATACTTTGTGCTTTAGTACATGTGGTAAGGCTGTGTACATCCGACCCCCCCCCCCTCCTTACCGCACCGTAGTGGGAGCCTCTGCGGCACTAGGATAATGTTGTGTTTGGTACTTTTGAAGTGTATGAAAAGAAAACACCAGAAGGAAACAGAAATTATGTGGATGCTACATAATGCATAAAAGTTGTCAATGTTTTAACCTTGGGAAAAATAATTACAATACGCCAAACTTTGAAGGGGTGTGAGGTAAGCACCCCAAACTTGCATATGTAATTTAAATACCCCAAACTTTATATAAAAAGTTATTTTAGCACCATGGTCATATATTATTTCTTTAAAAAATGTTAGTTTTTGGTGTTAATTTCATAAATTAAAATATTTTAGCATTCATGAAGATACAATTAACATTCTAAACTTCCTCATTTTTCATTTTCATTTTCATTTACCCCAGTGCCGCAAAGGCTCTCACCTACGGTGGGGTAAGGAGGGGGGTCAGATGTACGCAGTCTTACCCCTGTACAAGCACAGAGAGACTGTTTCCGGATGACCTGTAGTGAAAATCGCGTCCAAAATTGCATGGACTGACTGCTGCTTCATAACAAAGAAGAGCATACAGTTTAGTGAGCCATTTTGCTTTATTCCATCATATTCTCAAGCCAAAAAATAATGAATCTTTGGCTCCATTGCAAATGATGGAAATTAACATTCTAAACTTCCATTATAAAATAAATAATACTACCCCCACTCTATATAATTGCATCATTTTTTATTTGCTATTTTAAATTATGCAATTAACATCATAAATTTACATTTTTGAAAACAATATTATATGGTCATGGTGCTAAAATAACTTTTTATATAAAGTTTGGGGTATTTAAATTACATATGAAAGTTTGGGGTGTTTATCTCACACTTCTTCAAAGTTTGGGATATTTTAATTCATTTTCCCTTTAAGCTTTGGTTTTCAAAGCTAATGAAACTAAAGACCTTCTCTGAGACCATTTGAAAGAGAAAGTGCCAAATATGTGACTAACATCTAAACATATAGCACCCGGAACTACATAATTCCACAAAACCCAAAGCAAAACATTTCCTGGACAAGGAATAGAGACTTCTAAACACACATTTCCATTTATAAGAAATACTTAATGATTATACCTTTTCCATCATTTGCAATGGAGCTAAAGATTCACTCATTTTTGGCTTGAGAATATGATGTAATAAAGCAAAATGACTTACTAAACTGTCTGCGCTTCTTTGTTATGAAGCAACAAACAGTATATGCAATTGTCAACGCGATTTTCACAATGGGTCATCCGGAAACAGTCTCTCTGTGCTTTAGAATAGGGTTAAGGCTGCGTATATCTGACTCCCCCTTACCCCAGCATGGGTGGGAGCCTTTGCGGCACTAGGGTAATGATGATGATGACTTAATGACCATACCGTGGAACCAGTGTTGTGAGTTCAAAAGCACTCAAACTAGAACGGGAATAGAAATAATTATATAGGCAAAACCTACCTGAAGCTTTGTTAATATGTGTGCAATTGTATCATCTCTGGCTAATCCAAGGAGGACTCGACACGCGAGAGCACGTAAACAGTCAAGGGAGGCCGGAGGAGTAACTATTCGTGGTTGGAGGAGCTGGAGAAGAACCTTAATACCATTGTTGGCACGAACAGCCTCCCTTGCTTGATAGTAGCATTGTTCTAGCTGTGCAGCAAGGCCAGCACAACCAGCCCCAGCACCAAGTGAAATTCTACGGTCTCCAACTAACCCCGAAGGAACTGCAGAATGAGGGCCTTGTGTTGTACTGCTGGCAGTTGAGCCAGCTGTTAAGTTCCCCCGATCCACTAAAGCAGATTCACCATTTCGCTCTCTGGGATCACTCAGGTTGTGAGTAATTAAAGATTGTACAGCCCGATCTACAGTTCTGTCACGGTTCTCAATATTAGAGCTATTGGAATGAAGGATGGGAGCATTCTGCTGACCTTGGGAAGAAACAGGAGGTTTATTGCTTATTGAGGGAGGAGGACAGACAAGATTGATTAACACATTCAATGCTGCTTCAATAATCTGCCAAGGATGAAACTATGTTAGTACTCAAGATAGGTGGCATATATCGCTACAAAGTACAAGCCAATATTGAGTAACAAAATTCACAATTACAAGAAGCTAACCCTTACGGCCTTACCTCGGGTTCAACATAACCAGCACCATTTGCAGCATCTAAAATGACCGCCACACCGAGACGGTCATTGCTTAGTGTGGTATTAACAATAAGTTTGCGGCTGTTTGGCACTAAAGTAACAATGTGAAGCACACCGAGGGCATATTGAAGCAAATCATGCAAATAACGTTCAACCGGTGGAGCCGCCTATAAAATACTAGTTATTAGTCCAGAAAAAAAATTGTTATTGGCAAAGAACCCATTTAAAGTAATAAGGCACACCTGACAAAGCTCCAACATAGTAATATGCCCGTTTGAACTTAAAAACTTATCAACCACACTCCAACGAGCCTTCACCAGCGCAGAACCAAGTTTACGATCTTTCTGTATTTGACGAAATACGACATCCATAGCCTCATTACTAATGTCAAGTGGCTTATACGCAGCTCTAACACTTGGAATATTTCGGGCTGCACCACGGACATTTTTATTGGGACGGAATGAATCCACAATTAATATAAGATGTGCTCTGAAATATTGCCTCAATGCCACGCAAGTATGATAAGCTATCTGTTTTTCTGAGGAGGTCAGAACCTCTGGAGGGGAACGCTCACTCCGTAATGATCCCGAAGCAGCGATAGTCCCAGAAGTACCAGACCTTACCGAGGCAGCGTCTTGCAAAAGAGAAAGCATCTTTTGTAAACCATCCTGAGCATCAAAAGCATCGAGAATTGCTCTGAAGACAAAAGCAGCAGCAAAAAACAAAGCAGCATTCTTTTTTGCTTGATCATTGGAACATTCAAGAAGATGAAGAACCAACTCAACAGCTTGATGGACAATGTGTGAAGGAAGTGCACAGACACGTTCCATTATCCCCTAACAGTCATATTTGAAAGTGAAGTTCTAATGAAATAACTTCAAAAACACAAAGAACTATAAATATTAACAAGAAAACATGACAGGTGTGGAGAAACAATCAGTGCACAAAAAATAGAGGCAAAAGGGTCCATTTTTGCAATAAACTACCTGAATTGAACCTATAGTAAATAAACAAGACGAAAGGCCAAAAAATGTCTGAGGTACTCTTGGAACTGCAAGCAACTTTTCTATTCCACCACGATCCACAAATACCGCAGCAAATTTACGATGAGCAGCCAAAGACCAGATCAGCTTTAGAACATCAGGCAGAAGAAGTGAAACTTCAGGTCCATCTTTATCTTTAGAATTTCGTTGCAATAGCGCAAGACACACATCTACCCCTTTTTCATGCAATACTGGCCCAAGGACTTCAACATATTCACCTAAAATAGCAAGACACTGGATGCAGAACTTCTCTCTCAGCTTTGCAAGGGAAAGACCATCCAGGACAAAAAATTCATCAACCTCCTCACTGTTCTTTTCTGTAGGTTTCGGTTCTTGCGAATCCTTAATACTTGTCACATTTCTAGGACAAACGAATAGAATATAATATCATGAGCAGAAAGAATCAAAAGGTTTACCATAAGGTGGAAAAATTATAGAGCTTGCAGAATCATACTTGGAATTTTTCACAAAAACCTAGATACCAACCTTGCGATTTCAACTGCAATAGCAGCATCAACTACAGTAGATGCAGCTCTAGAAGCAGCCACTATTGCAGCCTCTTCGTTGTTTTCCTTTTTGAACTCCTAAATCATGAAAAGTGGAGCACTCAGTTGCAGCGAACCACAATGCGAACTTTTGAAACATAAACAGCATTAAAGTAAATTGTTCAAGTGACCAACAGATATATAAAAGAGCATACCTCTAAAGCAGCACTTTTAACCACTTCTGCAGCAGCATCACCAGCTGCTCTGATTGCATCTGTAGGAGCATTGGCAGCTTTAGCTTCAGCTTCAGCAGCGCCAACAGCTTTCTTTACAAGATCAGTTATGTCCTTAGAGCCAATTTTACACTCTTGAAAGCAATCATCATTTTCATCCCTTTCTATTCCAAACCCATCAGCAGGATTCCTCTCGATATTCTGCTTGCTTTCATACATTTTTCTCCCATCATTATTCCTGGTTAAACTCCTGCTACGAGCATGTCCTCCCAGTCTATTTCCAGAGCTAGGGGATGTCAAAGCTTGTCCATTCTCCATGATACCTTCCGTAGCCCTACCCCATACTCTAGATCTTGCCGAACCACGACTTGCCCTACGCCTCATTGAGACCTCTGTAGCAGTTTCATCAACGTCTTCTTCCCTTACAGATCTACTGCTGAGCTTTGTCTTTCCATCGCGTAAATCCTTTATGTGCCATTTATCTTCACCCTCAGATTCAACATCATTGCTATTGATATCTACAGGAATCATATCAGGTGGTTCTTCATCGATCCAATGTTCATCTTCAAGTGTACACCTGCTAGTAATTCTATCACGATCTCTCTCTGTCATTTGATCATCATGAAGACCATCTTTTGAAAGTATAGGCACATCCAAATAAGAACATTCAGGCACTTGACGCAGCCTGCCCCTACCCTCTTCTCTACTTCTAATACTAGTAGAAGCAGTTTTGCAATCAGCCAGGCATGTAGAATCTCTTTGTGCTATGTGTGTCTCTCCCAAGACCCTAATGCGAAGATATCGCATAAGCTTAGCTGGCAATCCCGGTGTTAGCACATCTTCAACTACTTGACTACCACTACAAACATTTAAAAATAAGTCGGAAGGAAGCATGATGTAGTCATTTAAGAGGAAAATCTTTTATAACCAACAAGTCAACAACCATGTAACAAGTATCAATAGAATACCTGGCCAGGCATACAGCAAGAAGACCAGTGGAGAATGTCTTCAGCATTTCAGAGTCTGAAGACTGCCATTCCCCTGATTCATGCCTCCAATAACGATCATCACCAGATTTACCGGTCTCCTCCATCACCCAGCTTTTTAAATTATCCAAGACAGTTTCTTCAAAAACATGAGGATACTGGATGCCATATCAATATTCATAAATGCTTGACACAATTATGAATAACAGAATAAGCCAAAACATAATCAACAAATAACTTACTACCTCCGTCCCGTTTAAAGGTTCCCATTGCAAAACGACACAGTTATTTAAACAATAATTAAATAAGGTAATTCGAGTATATTTTGAGAAATAGTTTTGATAGTCATATAATATAATGAGGTTAGTGGTGAATGGTGATAACTGTGATGTAATAGATGTATTATTTTTAATATTTAATGATTAAATTGTCATTTAAGAGTGTTAATTGTTTCCTAAAATAGATATGGGAACATCTATATGGGACATCCAAAAAAGGAAAGTGAGAACATTTATATGGGATGGAGGGAGTAACGTTTACAAATAAAATGTACCATAAAAGTGAGTGAACAGCTGAAAAGGAGCCTAGCTGCAGCAGCTTGTACAGAAACTGAATATCTTCTTTCGGATAAAAATGTTGATGATATAAGTTCAAAGAATTCATCATTCTCCTGAATGGGGGAACAAGTACAAATTTAAATATTAAAATGATTGTATTACTGACTTAAAAAGAAACACAAATACACCAGCACAAGAAAAATAATGAAAGCAAGGACAACTACCCTGATGAGGTTACCCAGCCGTCCAATGTTATGAGTAGATCGACCATTCGAGGAAGGGCAGCTTACATCTTTCATGTAACTACACTCACAGAGAACAAAAGATCATAAATTGTACACTCTTTGTTGATCATATCCATCTGTGACATCTTTTTATATAGATGAGGACATGTCACTAGATTATTCGTCATTGTTAAAATCAAAAGGTCAGATGTATGCATTATTTATATACTATCTCAACTATCTCCTCATTTTTATAACAACGTGGTTTATTGATTATTCTGTAAAAGTGGAAACATCAGAAGTATTGAATATTTGATTTACTGCAAAGCATATAAACTGCCAAAGTTATAGATAAGGGTAAACGCATTCAAGAAGCCATCATTTTATAATGGCGTAGACCGAAGAAAGAATTCCATGAACAAGCATGATCCCAGTTAGGCAATCCTCTAAAATTAGTATAGTAAGGCTTTAAAGAACCCAAATACGCTGTAGGACCGGGGAGGACATGTGGGGATGGGGGAAGGAGCCCCCCTCCCCACAATTTTTCCCAATAGGGTTAAATTACTCCAAAATTTATAATAAACATATACTACCTCCATTCTTATTTAGTTTCAACACTTTGAATTCCACATTTTCCAGTACACAACTTTGACTATGGACGATCAATATATTTAATTGGTCATTAGTAAAAATTATAAAATATCTAGAGGAGAGAGGAAGTGTATTGGTAGGCGTAATATTAAAAGGTATTTTTATATATAAGTTTTTGATACATTAACAAGTAAAATGTATTCAAAGTAGAGCGTACATGAATAGTGTAAATGTCTATGTCTATGTGTTGCAATTATTAAAGGACGGAGGAAGTATATTACTAGGCATTAATGATATGTTTTGCCCCTCCCCCCTCCCCCCGTAAGTGCAATTTCATGTGTCCCAATTACCCAAGGCTCCATTCATATAATTGGATGTGGCATCAGACCCAAAATGAGTTGAGCATAAGACCTAATAAAAACATACTAAAAAAATCAGTAGGCTCCAACTTGTATTTGTCTATTTGAAAGCCAATGTTTCACCCGTGGACTTATAGGCTCAAAATCTTTTCTGGAGGTTTAACCCCGAGAAGGGAACCACTACATAAGCCTGAACAGACTTATTGCACCTAGCAGGCTTGGATTATTTAAAAAATTATTATACTCCGTCAATTCAAATTTGGTTGTATCAATTTCTTTTGGGGGTTGTTCCATATTAGTGGTCTCACTTTCTTTGTTGGAAATGGAACCACACAATAAAACTATTCTATCCACCTCATGCATTACTTCACTAACCCCACTTATATCATTAAAACCATCACCACTTCTCTCTCAATAAAAAAATCTTAAAATTTGTGCAAACCCAAGTGAGGACCACTAAATAGGAACAGAGGGAGTAAATTCGTATATCCTTTTTTCATGGAATCAGAACAAAATTAAATTTACCAGGGTAAGCTATTGCTAGAGGCAATATGCCATATAGCAAGGCAAGAAAAATTACACCTGCAGATTATACTGCTAGGGGTGTTAGTAGGTGAAAGAAAAATGCATTTACTGGACAGAGGTGGTTTTTAAAACCATACACTCCAGCCAAAAGGCCAACCCAATAAAGGGAAATCACAAACGCATTGCTAAGAGAAGTTGCTTCTCCTTTTGCATTCTGAGTAAGCCAGGGGATACTTCAGGCTTCTCCTATAGAATAGACCCTTGAAGAGAAAGCATTCCACATATCTAGAGAAGGATATGGCATACTGTAGGCTAGTAGTAGTGTTTCTAACAGGTAACAAAGATTCTTCTTGTACACACTCTTTTGTACACGTCATCTTACACACATCTTAGCAGTTAATTTTTTTTGTGAACAGACTATTCACAAACTAAAGATGTGTGTACACAAAAAAGTGTACAAATAGTTTTTTCAGCAGGTAAAGGTAAGGAACTTGAGGTCAACAATTATGCTCATTTTCGGAGTAAATAGCCACAGTCATTGACGTCATGCACATATGCACTGCATAAATATGAATACCCACATACCTGGACTCTTCGAATTCAAGAATGGAGGAGAGAGCGTGCAGTGTATTGGGGTTAGGGTTCTCAGCGTTGGCAGTAATTTTGTCCATTAATGCTTGAGCCTTGAAAATCAACGCCTCGTGAGATTCATCATCATCACATCCTGCCTCCTGTCCCAGGTCCTCCTCTGCAGGTGGCTCTTCCGCAGGCGCCGCCATTGATTCGGGTCGTGATTCCACCGATGACGGCTGCATTACTATCAACCGATCGATGATGGAGAAATTCGAAGAACTGTCTAAAGGCTTATAGGCGCATTTGGGTCCACTCAAACGCTGCTTGGTTAAATGTTCGGTGTGTGTTTTGCAGAGGAATGAGTGCAGCGCGCTGTGGTGAACCCATTTTATACCTGAGTGATGATAATTGATAAACCCATTTTATTTATATTATATTATATATACTAGTATTATACCTGTGCGGTGCACGGGACAAAATATAGACATGAATTTTTATAATAATGATAATTATAATAATGATAAAAACCAAATAAAGAGCATATTTGTATTTGTACACAATCATCAAAAGAGTAATATGAGAAAATGGTAGGCAATTTTCATATAATATATATAGATGATAATGTGCATGTCCAGCTAAAACTATTTTTAAGAATTGGAATATGTATTTGTGGAGTTAAAAATATAGGTCTGATTGCAATGTGATCATTTAAACAATTAAACATTTCGAAATTATACTTTAAACAATCAAACATTTCGAAATTATACTCTGTATTACTGACAAATACGGGTATAAAGTTATAAACAGGAATAAATTAAATTAAAACTTAATTGATAGATTGGTATGAGTTTTATTTTTTTAAATGCCTAAATGACTGAGTTTGTATGTAGAAATTAGCATTGTATTATTTTTATATATGAATGGGATTTTATTTATTTTACTTTATTTTTATTTTATTTTATTTTATTTTATTTTATTTTATTTTATTTTATTTTATTTTATTTTATTTTATTTTATTTTATTTCACTATTTAAGATGTTTCGACGTTATCTTTCTCCAATATAATGCTAGTCTTCATGTATTGGACTCCAAGAGCCCCATTCTCTCATTTTCCTACCTCTGAATTATCTTCATACTTTCATTTTTCGTCCATATCAAAATTATCTTCTCTTTATTTTTTTTGGCAAAGATTTTGAGATTCACAACATTTCTTTTCACATTCTTACACATTTCTTTCTCATGTGTACAACTCTCCACCTTACAATTATCACTATTTTAATCTATGTGCCAATTGCACTTCAGAAGATAAATATGGGACGTGGGACGGAGGGAGTTTATCCCAACATAACATATCACATTAATTATCCAGATTCACATATTTTCTAGAGTTTATATAGCCTGATTCACATGTCAAAAACAATTAACGATGTGAATCCTCATGCGGCGGTTAATATGCTCCAAAGTCCTACATGATCCAATTTATATAGAGGCCGTTTGACAACACTGTTTTTCGGCTTATCAGGCTTATCAGCCAACTTTTTCACCAAACACGTCATTTTTGCTTTCGCGCGTTGAATTGTGTAATAAGCAGAAAAAGTAAGGTTGAAGTTACTTTTCTGGCCGTATTGGCTAAAGTTACTGTAGATGATCATTTTAGCTATTTTTACATATAATTTTTTCTTTATTTTATTAATAAAATATATTTTAAAAATAATTTTTTCTTAAATCAGCAGAATCAGCCAATGCAGCCAATTCAGCCAGAACTTAATAAATTTCAGCAAAATCAGTCAAATCAATCGATTTTCGTGCTACCAAACAGGCTCATAGATTAGATTAGCTCTAGTCCTTGTGCATTTTAAATGAAATTCTAGATTAAAGGACATCTTCATTTTCGGTCAGTATTATATGTAAGAACTTGGAAACGGGTCTATATTTATATACTCCATCTGCTTTGTAATTGCGTTGCAAGTGTTCCGGCCTGTATGAAATAAAACCTCAATTGTGTACGTTATATATTAATATTACACTAACAAATACGACAGTATATGTTAACGAAGTAATGCAAAATTGTAATTTGATACTCTTATTATCGATCAATACAGTCAATCTTTATGTTCTTTTTAGCTTTATTATGTTCTCTATTTTCTCCCCTGATTAGTGTTTGTGCTTTTTATTAAATTAATAAAACTCGAATAAATTTTGAACTTTTATCTCACTGATGATTTTTAGTTATTTTTCTAGATTAAAGAAATATGTGATGTTTTACTTACTCCATCTCTATAACTTTCAAGGCAAATACCAAAAGATGGGTTCAAAATCCTACCATAAAATTGAACTCATACCCTCTTGAATCTTGAAATGGGTATAGGTGATAACCCAGACTCTAGCTTGCTATACCGAATACATAAAATTTTATTTAACCCAAATTTTTTCGAATCCAGTTCCCAATTCCTTAAACAGTCTCGCTTTACTTCTAAAGACATTTTAAACTACTTTTATTGAACTAAAAACTCTAACAAATTGATACTACGTACTTGCATTATATATCAAAATTTTCAATTAATTGTGTAATTGATTAGATATATATAAATCCAGTAGTCTAAATTGCAAAGGAGAATAATTATTGTAAAGAGTACCATAATATTGAAACTCAGTAGTTCTTTCCACCTGTTGAAGCTTACTAGATTTTCACCCGCGCGATGCGCGGATGAAAATTTACCAATTTGTGATTAAAAAGGCTATTATAAAAACGTAAAAAGAATTGAACACAAAATAAAGTGGTAAGAAATACTACGTATATATTAAATGTTCACGGCTAAAGAGAGATTGAAATATCGTCAAAGAAGGGCAAATGCAATTTTTTTTGCAAAGGCAAATGTAAATATTAAAAAAAGATATAAGTCATATAACATTTCAAAGAAACTATCAACCAATCAACGTTTTTTGCCGAATAAAAGCAAAAAAGAGAAATTCATATAATTTTATTTTATTTTTACAAAAGTTATACTCCGTATTTTGCACATCAAAATCCTAATTTGATACACTTCATAAATATTTAATCTTTAATTACATAAAGTCAATGGCCTAATAAATGGTACTCAACTACACTTATAATCCGTAATCACAAATAATAATTAATTATTAATAATTTTGATTTTAACAATTAACAAACACTCCATAATAATAAAAGAAAAAAACGATCCAGCCCAACATTAAAGGAAAACCTACCCGACCCAGCCCAACATTAAAGCTAAACCTATCTGATCCAAGCCCCACATATATAAGCCCTATTACCTCCGCTACACCCAATATACGACACATTGTTGGATACTCATCGGTTACTCGCATAGACCGATGGTCTCCGATCTTTTCACCTATTCTGTGATTAAACTTTTCCGGCGGTCTAACCTTTTTGTTCGGCTGCCTAGTCGTGATGTTGAACAGCGGTTCTCACCGTTCGTGTATTCCACATCTCATCCGACACCAACAAACCTGTAGCGGCTGATTGCAGTTGTTGTTTGGTATATTTCGTCTTCAAATTTTGTTCAAGTAAACGTTTTCAAGTTTAATTAGTAACGATGTTCATGCATATCATTTTCTGGATTGCATGATATATACTGATGATATGAGTGTTCAGAAAACGTTTTTCAATTTTTTTCCTAGATCTGTAAATCTCTTCATTTCTGTAGATTGAGGATAAAAATCCCATCGGATATCATTTGTTGACCAGATCTGTCAAAATATCAGATCTGGGATTGATCACCGATGAACATGAATTTGCTTTTCAATTTGGCGTCGGTAAAGTAATTATTTTGTGGCAAATAAGGACTATGATCTCTAAGTAGTGAGATGTAACAGTATATGAGTAATTTGTCATACATGAAATTGGCCTAACAGATAAGAATGACGATCACAGTGATTCATTCAGATTTTGTGATCATTCTATGCGTTTGATGATTCTGTTACGTTCATACCAAGTTCTCTCTATTTTTTTAATTTTTTTTTTGAAATTGATAACATTGCATGAACGTAACATTTACCATGTATATGGTAAATATACAGTATTTATGTATAGTTCTATGGGTAGTATCAAGCATGTATACTATGGATTTTCTATCCTATACCATCTGGTATATACTATACCATCCAGTATTTTAAAACTATTTTTGTATCATACAATCTATTTGAATAGTATATATTATAATTAGTACCATATAATTAGAATTAGTATAATATTAGTATGATATGAACTATAATAAAACGGCCACATACCCTTCAACGTGTTTGGAGCAAACATTTTAAAGTACATCTATCATACAAACTGATTTAACACTATATCATTTTAGTATGATATGAACTACAAACAAACCGCATAATGGCATAAACCCCGTTTTCTCTTATCATTTGCCTAAACATCCCTAGATGTGTCCTCTCTATCAAACCTTGAATTTTGTCTCCCTGCACGAACAAATTTTTATTTTAAATGAACTAAAATATATAAATACAAAAGTATGCAGTTTTATACTGGTATCAAATTACCTGTGAGTTGATGAACACCAACCCTGTCCTTTGTCCTCCTCTGGACTGAGGTGCCATTGAAATGTGTTGCGAGTGTAGAAGGTGCTGTGTGTGGGAAGGAAATTCAACTCACTGAAGTAGGCTATTTATACTGCTGTAGAGGCAAAAAGTGCTCTACTTTCCAGCTGGCATTAACTCCAATAACCATGGACACACAATTCTTCCAAATTTGCTTCAGTAGTTGTAAAACATTTAATGTTTCTGTACATTGAAGACCAACTCGATACTGTAGATATAAATACATGAAAACCAACTCTATCCTCTCTCTTCCCCTGGACTGAGGTGGCATTTCATAAGCTCTCACCACCTTTGCCCAAGTAGTCTTGGTGTGATCGATCTCTGAGAAATGAGTACATTCCCTTGTTTGCTGCCATTGAAATATGTTGTGAGAGTGTATGAAGGTGTGTGTGGGATGGGAATTGAACTGACTCAAGTAGCTATTTATACTGCATTACTTGCAAAAAACTGTTCTGCTTCCACCGGGCATTAACCCTAAAAACCACCGGACAAATATCCATGGATCTGTTTTTATTTAAAATCAGATGTCATTGCTGCATCCATAAATGCTAATGTACTTTAAAGATATTGATATATATATTGTTTGGCTCAAGAAGATATGAAAGTACACAACATTTAATGCAAATCCCTTTGTTGAGTACCACCCTGCGGATTGGCCACACGAATTTGAATATGGCCAATTAACATTTTTTTTTAAAAAAAATGAACTGCTTTGGCATTTAATGCTCAAAAAGTTTTGATAAGACAACATGTTACCACATTAAATGCATAGCCCATGCGGCCTCCCAACTCCCAAGCAACAAAAATTGATTTTATGGATGCAGATATGACCCTAGTACTTAGACCCGATTTTTTACCCGAATTCACATTTCTGACCCAGTGCTTTGGGCGGGAATTCTAGCTACTTTTCCACAGCTGTTTGTATATAGAGAGATTGCCGGCCTGTTCTAAGTGGTTGAATGGTAAAGCTACAGAAATCATGAGGAAAAAATCAATATTAACAAAAAAGAACTAAATGGATCACACTAAGGAATACTCCGTATCGAACTTGTGAGAAACAAAATCGTTGGACTGTAGACGATAGTGCGGTACTGCTGCAGTGGTAATTGGTAAAGCATTTGCAGACCATTGCGAGATTTATATAGGATTTTTTAACTGGAGAATTATTAGTGAAATGATCTTGATGAAATGGCAATCTGCACGGGAAACAAAGCGTCACCCCCAAATTCATTTTTTTACTCCATATTATTAATAGCTAAAAAGAATCCACAATTTTTTAATTGAAGTTAAAAATGAACTACTGAAAGAAATCCCGCAGCCGACATATAGCCGAAGTCCAAATTCCGAAGTGCCACTTGCTATTTAATTCTGGACATCTAGCTATTATTATTACGGAGTAATTTAATTTTATTTTAGAGAAGCATACTGAATGATTGTACTTCTCCTAGAAGATTTCTTTTGCTTTTATATATAGATAGATATAGATATTATTATATTATACTCCGTACATATTATTACTTATATACGAACTTACCAAGTACGTAGTATATATGGAGGAATTGACCACAAAATTTGACTTATGCATGGTCTATTAGGATGTTTTCTTTTGGACTGTTTTCAGTCCCAGACCAGACCAGACTTAAACAGACCAGACCAGACCTGAATTTCTTAGTTATAAAATACACAGAGACTAGACGTTTACCAGACCAGACCAGTTCAGACCAGACCAGACTTAAACAGACTAGACCAGACCGGACCAGCAAATTTCAGTCCAAAAGAAAACATCCTTACTCCCTCGGTCTTGTAGTTAACTTCGGTCCAGTAAGTAACTTCTCACTTCGTTTTCACACATATTAAGGAAATAAATTTATTGGGGGTAAATTTTATTGTTTTGACACCGTTTCGACATTGTTTCACTGTTTTGCACTGCTTTGATGTAGATAATTTGCCAAATAAGAAAGTGTGAAGAAGTGGGAAGTTAATTTCATGATTGCCCGAAAAGGAAAGTGAGAAGTTAATTACGGGACGAAGGGAGTACCAGTCTTCTCCCAATCCCAATTGTATCGCTCTTCGTCATTTTTATTTTATCAATTCAATATCAATCACATAAATTCACTTTTCTTAATAATTGTGTCACACCGCAATTTATACCGTGCAACCGGTACACCTTGCGCAAGGTGTACCGGCCCCTAACGACGTTGTCCTCTTTGCAAAAAAAAAACCTAAGCTTGCGGCGAATCCCTCCGGCGATGAACAGGGGCACTCATCAACAGCAGCCTCAAAGATGGATTGGTCGGAAACGAAGGTGCAGCGGACAGAGAAGGAAGCCGCATCCATGGAAGCCTGCTGCTAGGGGTGGGCAATTTGGTTTACGGTTCGGTTTTCTTCGGTTTCGGTTCGGTTTAGGTTTATTCGGGTTGGGAGAATTTGTACCAAACTAAAATCATTTGTGTTTCGGTTTGTGACATGCACTTTGTCACGGTGCGTCAAAATAAATTCAATACTAGCACTAATACATAGTATAGCGTAGTAGAGTTCGTATCCACAGGGAAAGGAATAATTCTCTTTTTAGTAAAACTAGTAAATAAGGGGGGTTTTGGGATTGAATGATTTAATTAAATTTAAACACGAAGATGAACGAGTTATATGTGATTTAATTCAAAGATAAAAAAGACTTGGCATTGCTACTTTCCACTTGTTGATATATTTTAGTCGATCATTGTTATATCTATAACTTATCCCCTCTCAAATACTCAATCGAGGAGTATATCCAATTCATCGAGAGTAGTTATTAACAACGACCGTTCATTAATAACCCTTACTATTAGTCAAGTATAGAACACCGCCATATACCGACTTAATAGTAGCATTTAATCTCTTAACTCCTTGATGAAATCAATTGAGATTGATAACCTCAACACAACGGTTTTGGTTTAACCAACAAAATTAATCCCTCTTAAGTTTATTAACCACGACCGTGCATTAATAAACCGAAGTCACTTACTTGTGAAACCATCAACGATTAACCATCGGTTCATTGATCGTTTCTAGTAGTAATTAATGTCGAGATGTTAACTAATTGTCATCTTAGCAACACTCCCCAACATTAATATAGAGATAGATTAAGGGAAGAATTAATATTCAAGGAAGAAGATTAAATAAGAATAATTCTACTATAACTAATGTCAAGATGTTATCTAATTGTCATCTTAGCAACACTCCCCAACATTAATATATAGAGGAAGAAAATAAATACTACTATAACTAATGTCGAGATGTTAACTAATTGTCATCTTAGCAACACTCCCCAACATTAATATATAGATAGATTAAGAGAATAATTAATATTCAAGGGCAGAAGTTAAGAAAATAACTCACAACTTTAATAATCAACAAGCTTCAAGAGCAACACCAAGAAATGGAAGTTTAGCTCCTCATTTGGAGACTAAACATGCTATAAAAATATAAAAGAAATACTATTCTAAACTGAGCTTAAGAGTATGGAAGAAAGAGTTATTCTTTGTGAAGGAAAATGGGGTTATTTATAGGTGTTTTTCAACACCTTGGGCCGGGTACCCGACCGGGTTAGGTGCTTATCCGACCGGGTCCGGTCAAAATCAGATATCCTCCACGTTCTGGCGATCTTCGGCACGTTCTGGTGTCCCGGGTCAAGTCTGACCCGACCGGGTCAAGTAGGGGACCCGACCGGGTCTAATGATTTTCCAGGCAGTTTCGGATTTTACATCAGACCCGACCGGGTGCATGGTCTGACCCGACCGGGTTTGTGCTCCTGGGCACACTTATCAGTTATCACCTTTTTCTTCACTTCAAACTCTCCTTTTTCAACAACATAAGTCCTAAATCTATTTTACAACTTATAAATGAAGATTAAAATGCAATTACAACTAAAATCACACAAATGTTTACAAACTAAATAAAATGATAAATAATACACACAAATCAAACATAAAAACATACACTTATGCACTACTAATTAGTGCATATCAGTTTGGTTTCGGTTCGGTTCGGTTTGAAGTTCGGTTTACCAAAGTAAAAAATATTATGTTTAATTTAGTTTGGTTTGATTCATTTGCTTATGTTTATTATTTTATTTGATCAAGTTCTATATTTTAGAATTAGAAAATAAAAGTAGTAGTCCATCTCATCTTTTTTTAATTTATTGATTATTTAAATAAAATGTAAAAGGAAATAAAAGATAGAAAAATAAATAATAAAATATTATAAATTAAAACTTCTAACATCTTTTGTATCACTACAAAAAATTCACTTCTTACAAAAAATAAGATAGTTGATTAACATTTGTAATATCACCTAAAATATTCAAAAAAATTAAAAGAGTCGGTGGTACAAATGTTGTAATATTCACAATTTTATTCAAATGAATCATGTAAAAGTATAAATGCAATTTGCTATTGTTATTGCCAAACATAATAAATACTATGTACAAATATGTCGTATTAGCTAACTTTGTCATAATGAATGTATGAAATGTGTAAAAATTAAAATGATAGGAGTATATGCTTAAATATGTATATTCATGTCTAAATTATTTATTTATATCTTAAAAATGAAGAGTGAAGATAAATGCAAAGTGTATATATGTGTGTGTGTGTGTATATGTTGTTTGGTGTTCGGCTCAGTTTACGGTTTTTCCGTTTTAAACCAAACCAAACCAAAGTACCAAACCATTCGGTTTGAGCAAATGTTTACCAAACGGTTTACTTAAGTAAACCCAAACCAAACCAAATCAAACCACCAATGTTAATAATATATGAATTTTTTTTGAGTTTCTTTAGTTCGGTTCGGTTTTGTTCGGTTTTTATCGGTTTCGGTTCGATTCGGTTCGGTTTAATACGGTTTGAAAGAAATAGTACCAAACTCAAATCAAATTGCATACGGTCCGGTTTCGGTTCGGTTTAGTTCGGTTTGGTATGGTTCGGTTCGGTTAAACCAAACCGTTATGCCCACTCCTACTGGCTACTGCAGAGCTTGACCACCACCAATTCGAGGACGATTTGGCCGGACGGCGCCGCTACTCCGCTAGGGCTGCACATCGGGCGGATTGGGTCGGGTTTGCTATATTTTTTGGGCCTACCCGATTGGTTCGAGTTGGCTATTAACCAACCCGCGGTACGCAAAATAAGTTGGTAAACCATGCATGAACGGGTCGGGTAGGGTCGGGTATTGGGGGAAAAAATCACTTCGGGTTGCATCTTTCATGTGAGAAATTAATGTAACCAATTTAAAACTCAATTAACTTGTTTCCAAAACACACAAACAAATACAAGTACTCAGCTCGTATCTTTTATAAGCAAAAACATTAGGTAATAGTATTTCATGCTTCCGTAAAGGAAGTTCATTTAGAAGGAAACGTAAATATATAATAATCACCTAATCAAAATGATAAATGTTTAATCATAATTCTAATATCATAAAGTCTTAGATAGTGCACATTGGTCTTAAATTGAAATTATCCAAGAAAATGTTGTAGCATAATAATAGTAAAATGAACTTCGGCCGGGTTGGGTACTATCGGGTTTGAGATTTTAATTCCGCAACCCTACCCATTA